GGGAGAAGCTCCTGGAATATTTCCCTCATCTAGCAACTCTCTCCAGATCTCAGCTTTTGCACCTTGGACTGACGCAGGGACTTGTTGAGCGGCTAAAATGAGAACATCTCATGCTTCTGTCCAAGACACACTACGTTCAAGAAGCCCCCTCCCGCCCCCTATTTATGGATACCGTGGATGGTCTTGCTAAGAACATGAAGGAACCCGCTCAACGCCTTACTCAGCATATACATTGATGCCTTTCTAGAAATTTTTACTTTAAGTCATTGAAAATCCACTTTTTATTTATGGATCTCTAAATTACACCATTAATCAAAAATACTCTCTGGGACTAATCCATAACATTCAGCCATCAAACTGTCATCAGCACATGCTTGCAACTTAATTGGGGAGGGTGGGGAGCTTAGCGAATGTCTGAGCCCATGCTTACATGTGGCGCATTCAACTTAGTATTTTCACAGGATGTATTTAACGGAGGACATCATTCAATGCAGAACAACAGCAGACTTGTTCTTTTGCTTTGGATAACACTCATCCCCCTAACACCCAGCTGAGCTCTCCCTCTATAAAACCGAGAACTCCTGCCACTCGAAGGCTTTGCATGTGTTTCATGGGCACGTTCCTATCTCTTTGAGCTTCAGAAGATGGCTGGAACGTCGCACAGGGCTGTGAGTGAAGCTTTGCCTGTGCAGCTTTTCTGGTGCAGTGTTGCAGTGATTTGAAACACCCCCTGTCTGTGTTCCTCACCTTTTCATATTGAAAGGTTTGCTTGGAAGACTGGGTAAAAGTTGCCACTTAATGGACTACTGTGTAGTTTACTCGGGGTGGTGAGGGGAGGGAGAAGGTTTTGCTGAATCTTTTTTAACCCGTTCTGCTCACGTTGCGCTCTGAATGAGCTAACTGCAAAAAATCACCCTGTAGGTTTCAGAGCTGTCTTTGTACCCGCAGCGTGTTCTACCCAGTGCTTGAGTGCGAACCACTCATGGCAGCTCAGTCCTGATTATCAGCCTCTCACTCTAATGTCCACCTGTAAGCTTTTCGTTTTCCTCCTTCCCACGCATCACGTGTTGGCCTTTTTCTTGTTAGCTTCATATTCCTCCAGGGGTGGAGGATGTTATCGCTGTATGTGGATCCTTGGGAAACCTCATGGATCACTCATCCCAGGAAACACAGCATCAAAAGAAGGGGAGAGGGAACATCTCTCCCTCTTGCTGTGAACAGTGGTCACCTCTGCCCAGGCAGGAGAGGAAGGGATGGCTGTCTCTTGTCTTGCTGTGCTCCGTATACTGTGAAGTTAGCTCTGGAGACCACGTCTAAGTGACCATTGAACTCTGAGCAGCTCCACTTGGCTGACATCCATCTTTTTCATTTGAAGACCATTTTAAGTGCCTTTTTTTTTTTTAATAAAAAAAAAAAAAAAATCAGCTTTTCCTAGTACCTTCCCCTTCCATCATGAAAGGCAAAGCTTAGACTCTGGGGTTTTAGTTTCTTTTTAAGAGATTACTTTTATGTTTAAATAAAACATAGCATTGTCTTCATGTTGTTAATCTGAACAGTACTGGCTGATTGAGTCACTGCCACCCATCTTGGGGAGCACCTACCCCTGATGTTCATTTGAAGTGTTACCAGTCATCCCAATGTTAAGCTTCCCCTGCTCTGGGGGATAGTTCCCCCTCTCCCCTCCTTCTGTAACTTCAGTTGCTGCCCTTTTCTCAAGGCCCAAACAAATAAAGGTTGGGCATTACAGCTGAAGTGTTCTCTGATGCTTTGGACCACAGAAGGTGGTGGCAGCTGCTTGTAGCTACCTGCTCTCACACCCCGGGCTCATGGTGTCTTCTTTTGCAGGACCATGTTGAGGCAATGGGCCTTTTCTCCAGCTCTATCTTCTGGGCTGAACTCAGCAGCTCTCACCTTTCCTCACAGGGACTGAATGTCTACACTTAATCTTCACCTTCTGGCTTCCAGTTCTGCTGGGACCTTTGTACTGGAAGAGCCTGGTTGTACATGTGCTGGTTCCTCCCTTGCTTTAAAGAACATCTCCCGTCATCACCAAGGCAATATTAAAGCCATCTGAGCCTGGACTTCTGATGAAGCAGATTCCTTACGCTTTAATGTCTTCCTTGCTCCTACAGCCTTATGGGGGCAGCCAGGAGCTTTGCCCCTGATGTGAACACAAGAAGGTGGTGGGTGGTGATCTGGGGCAGGTCTGGCCTCAGCCTTGCTCTGTACTGACACCTCTAACACTGTCACTTAGTCTTAGCTTCAAATCTCGATGTGGAACATGTTCAGCCACAAGGGCAGGACAATGTAGTCTTTGATGTCCCTGTGATACACCAGTGTCATCCTAAGCCTCTTCCACTGGCTGGACCACTGAAGGCACAAGCCCAGAGCCGGTCTGTGCCCTCTACCAGTGGCCTGGAGCTGGTTTCACCACTCCAACACAGCTGTGCTGCATCCCCAGCACACAGAACTTACAGGAGCATGGCCAAGAGTCCTACAGAATAAGGGACAGAGGACTTGCCTTTACTGCTAAAAGCAGATACCAGCATTATCCTCTGATGGGATCCCAGGGGCCTTTCCTCTCCCAGGAACTGAGGGTGGCTGCTGCATGATGGGCACAAGATCTTGGAGGCCGCTCTGCTGCCCTTCCTAAAAAAAATAAAATAAAATAAAATACAACTTGTTTAAGCACTGCAAAGCACACAGCTCCCTTTTGAGGGTTTGCTTGAGTTGCTGCTGATCTACTGCATGTTGAGTTTTTGAATGATGAAAAGCTTCTTGGTGGTTCACGGTAGCAGAGGCTTCGCTCTGGGCTGCGGCTTGAAGGATACGTGGCTCCAGGCTTTTCTTGCTCTGTCTTCCACTTGTCTTCCCCTCCAGCCCACATAATGCCCAAGTACTGGTTCCTCCTTTACGAGGAAGTTCCATATGTGCAATTCCATACGTGAAAGCAAAAGAGGAGAGCGTTGCTGCCTCTGCGAGGGCAGGGCAGGTTCCCTAAGGGAGAGGGAAAGGATTCACCATCTGCAGCAACTGATGGAAGGAGAGGAGTTAAGAGCATCCACAGTGCTGCCCAGGTTGGGGACAGGACACAATCGAGGCAGAAAGCCATCTCAGAAGGGGGTTTTGTGGGACAGCCCTGCTGCTGTCACTTTACAACTTACCCCTGCTCCCAGCACCAAGCAGAGCGGCTCTGGGTGATGCGGGACCTCTTTGGGGCACCCTTGCAGCCACCAGGAGCTGCTGCTGGGCTAGTCCTGCTGCAGAGCAGGGCACCGGTGGGTCCACCAGTGGCCACCCCTTCCCAAACACAAGGGCTGGATCTGACTCCAGGAGAAGTCCCAAGCATCCCTCACCCCAGGGGAGACGTTTTCTGTTTAGCCTGAGAGGAGATGTAGGAGAACCTGCTGGGTGCCATCATCTTCTGCCCTCCCATCCCACCACACCTTTGCCATCTCTTACTGCCCTGCACTGCTGAGCCCATCTGCAGCCATCAGCCAACTCTGGCTAGTCACTCACTCGGGAATCTTCCCAGTCATCCACATTAATGACAGCAGGATTGTCCATACTGATACTATACTAGGAAAACAAACAAAAATTGTTAAAGCATCATCCTTAACTGCTAACGAGCAGCTGCCCTCCTTTGGGAAGGAGGAGGATCCCATGCTGCTGCCCACTGCCTGCCTTACTCTGAGTTGTTTAAAGTCTGGTCCTGTTTTTCTGTCAACAGATGAGTTGCCTGCTTTACTCCTAAGTCCATCGTTCACGTTGCAGGCACCACAGCACTCCCCTCCCCAGTTGTTATTCCAAAGTACACCCCGACAGGGCTGGGGAGGGAGAAGAGGCACAGGAGCCACATCATTGCCTGTATTCGTGTGTCTGTCAGTGTTTTGCTTTTCAGTTTGTTGGTTGGGTTTTTTTTGGGGGGAGGAGATCATTTTGGGTTTTGGGTTTGTGTTTTTTGTTTGTTTTTTTTTTTTTAAAAAAAAAAAAGCTCTGATAATAAATCAGTCCAAGCCACCCACTTTGTCCTCTCACCTCACCTGCCAGCATTTCCTAGAGATGAGCCAGTCCCCAGTGTGTCACACCTCATACCCTGCAAACAGAACCAGGAGCATCCCCTGACCCTTCTTAGGACTCCATTAAAGACCTCCGAGCAAGGATGACCCAGGAGAGTCGGACAAGACCAGGCTGGAAACAAGAGCTGGAGCTTAGGGAGGGTCATGGAGAAAGCTGGAGCCTGCAGAGCGTGCTCTGGCCCCACAGCATGGTGGTGGATCTCCCCTGCCACCTGCTCTGGTCCTAGGGATGCTGGCTCCAGCTGAGCCATGGGCTGGTGCCCAACGCCCACCACACTGAGAGCCAACCTTGATGGGCAGCAAGCAGCCATCACCCCAAGACCATCACTAACCTGGGTGGCGAGCACAGAGGGGCCCACACCGGTGACCGAAGGCTCGTTTAAGGAGAAACAAGCTTGTTTCTGATTTGTACAAAACTGCTTTAATGACAAAACAGCTGAAAAATGCTTTCTGGTGCATTTCTAGTACCATCAAGAAGCCCTGTGTGATTCCCCAGACCCAAGTCCCTTCCAGGCCAGGGATCACCCACTGCCTGGAAGGGCGAGAAGCTCTTCTCAGGCACTTTCTCCCAGTGCAACACATCTCAAGGGAGGGGTCTGTCCTTGAGACCACACAGAAACCCCCTTCAAGACCCTCCACTAAGGACATTTTTCCTTCCAACCACACAAGCGTGGGCTGGAAATACCTCTGTGAAGTGCTCAGGCTTTGAGACTCCTTGGTTCAGGAGTGCTTCCATTGCCACCACCCTTCCCATCACTGAAGTCCCATTGCCACTCCACTGGGGGAGCTACACATCAGTAGGAGTTTCAGCAAGTGATACTTCCAGACTGGAGCCAGCCCAGCCGAATCCCTGAGACACCGGATAACGCCTTGATGGGCGCTGAGCCCAATGAGAGGATTGGAGAAAGCAGAGTCCAAACCTCAGCAACCACTGGGCGATGGGGCGAAGAAATACACAGCCAGGAGGATGAAGTAGACCATCACCAGCACCGTGCCTAGGGTAGACAGAGCAGGTTAGAGGTGGTTACTCATTGGAACAATGAAGAAGTTTGCTTGTAAGACCTTCTGGTGTGGTCTGGGCTAAACCACTGTAGAGGACCTTCATGGTTCTCTGCAAATCTCAGTCAGAAGGGGTTTAAAACTCCCTCTTAAGGATGAAAAGGGAGTTATCCCCCTTGGAGCTGCTGCCGGATGACAGCTCCGGCACCTCCCAGATGGTCGACCAAGACTCTAGAATTGCTCAAGCCACCACATGCTAAGAGCTGCAGCAAGCAGATGACCCCAGGAACCCACCCCATCAGCACAGGGAAGGTGGGTACACCAAGTCCTACACCAGCCTCATGGGCAGGCAGTCACCTTGGAAGTAGTCACATTTGCCATCCATGAAGATGTAGTTCATGAGCACCACGCTGAACATGCTGGCATAGACATGGAGGTCACTGAAGACAAGCGTGAAGTTGGTCGGCTGCAAGGCAGAGAGGATTTGGGGTTTATGGCTGATCAGGACAGCCCTGCACTGATTGTGGTTGGGGACTTGCACGTCACCCCTTAAACCCCCTCACCACATGTCCCTAGGGCAGGGGGCAGCATCAGCCAAGGTAGAAAACATCTGATCCCACTTTTCCCTGCACTGAGCAGAGGAGAGGAGACACTAAGGACAGCGGTGGTGCCCTTGCAACATCTCATGGACACGTATGTCCCCAACCCTGCTATAGGAAGTCACCCAGGGGCTGTTCTGGGGCTACTCACATAGAAGATAGTGAAGAGCACCAGGATGGGGATCTGGAGCATGCAGACCTGGACAGCGATGCAGTTCCCAATCTCGATGCTGGAGAGGACAGAGGACTTAAGAGCTGCCAAGCACCAGGTCTCCAGCAGCCCTTGGGTGGCTCAGCTTGGGGTGAGAAAAAACAACCCGCCTCGGGGAACCAAACCATGCAGCCTGACATGATTTTGGACCTATTTTTTGGGTGGCCCTCTTGAGGGGAAGTTGGCAGGGATCTGACCCACCAATGGCATGAAGCTGGGCAGCCCATCACTGGCACCAAGGCATAATTATGGGACAGGGCACAGGGACTGCGCTGGAGGACAACACCCCAAAACCCGTCCTTTGGGCCGTCTCACCTCAAGCTCAGGTTGTTCTGCAGGGCAAACTGGATGCCGTTGACAATCTCTGGCAGCTCCGGCACCATTGCCAGCACAGTGACACCAATGAAGTACTGCAGGGAAGAGGTGGCATCAGCACATGCATTATGGCCTGACCCTGACCACATCCAAGCTATGGGCAACCAAGCTACTTGGTGCACAGAGCATCTCAGCAGCTTTTGGGGCTCAACCCCACAGCCAGGGGAGGTTCCCATCCCTGGAGGACACAACTGGGTTCACCACCATTTCCATACTCGCCTGTGAGATGGTGGAGTTGGTGAGGATGGGGCTGATGTGCTCCGTGGCCAGGTCAGCACAGGCTGACATGCAGAGGGTGGAGAGCAGGAGGATGACCAGGGCCCGCCAGCGAGACCAGTGGACCACAGCGCTGTGGTGGTGGCCAGGCACTGGGGGAAGAGCAGAGACATGGTGGGACACCCCAGGGCAATGAGAAGAGCCAGCCCTGCAGCTGGGACATCCTGCTGTTTGGGGGACACTCACTGTGACAGTCGCTGATGTGGATGTCGTAGATGTGCGAGTGAGTTTTCAGGGTGAAGAAGAGGCCAATGAGGTAGGCAGCAGGGAGCAGGAGGGACACGGTGTACACCAGGGGTCTGTGGGACATGGGTGACACATGTTTAGTGCCACCAGGGTCTGGCATGGAGACCATGGGGGGGTTCCCTGCACCATCTGGGGATGGAGGAGATACAGGTGCAGGATTGGAGCCCTTCAGGGTAGCAAAGAGGAGACCTAGGAGGGATGCAGGGCCATAGCCCAGCCCGGGAGGTGCCACCCCACCATGGGGACAATCCTGTCCCCACCCCAGCAGACACTCACTGGACGTGACTGTAGTAGAGGGTGCCGTTGTTCTCCATCTGCAGAGAGAGAGCCTGTCAACAGGGATGCAGGGGACAAGGAACAGCCCCACTGCCACCACCAAGAGCAGAAGCCAGGTGGGCTTGGAGCATCCCTAAACCCCAGCGGTCAGAGGTCCATGTCCCCACTCACCAGGTCAAAGTGACAGTTGTGGCAGAGGTAGTGGCCCAGTGGGTTCTGGGTGACGTTGTGGCACTCACCACACACCAGCTTCCCATACACCTTGGAGAAGAGCGCCGGGGCAAAGACACCTGTGGGGATGGAGGGACAGCAGGTGGGCACCCATTCTGGTGGGTACCCCCCCCAAACCTGGGGACACCCCTGTCCCCAACTCACCTCCCACAGAAAGGAAGAGCAGAGCCGAGCTGACACCCGCCGAGCGGCTGTTGAACCGTTGCTCCTGGTGCCGGATGCCCCCAATCACCATGCACAGACCCTTGGGGATGGAGAAAGCCCCCCCCAAAATCTCCATCAGCACTTCATTCGCAACATCCTCCCAGCTCTCCGCAGAGACCGGGTGCCCTCATGCCACAAAGGTGCCACACCATGGCTCACCGGGACAAAGAGGACACAGCCCACCAGTGTCCCCGTCAATGCCGACTTGACGATCTCAGCGTAGCAGCGGTTGCCCTCACGTGAGCCCTTGATGAGGGCTGTGATGTAGAAGGTGAGTTCTGTGATGGAGCCAAATGTGGCATTCACCACGGCTCCCACCGCAAAGTTGCTCTGGGCCGAGATGCTGGAGGAGAAGGAGGGTGTCAGCAGGGCTGGCATGTGTCCCCACCTTGCCACCAGTGTCCTCCCCATCACTGCTCACCTGGCAATGGCCATCCCGATGTAGTAGGAGAGAGGCATGATGGAGAGCAGGGCCAACGTGAACTTGACAGGGGAGCTGGTCAGGCGGTTGTGGCTGTCCACGTAGCCCAGCACGAGGGTCACCAGCACCAATGGCAGCAAGTCTGGGGTAGCCAGTTAAGGAGATGACTGAGGTGGAGTGGGATTTGGGGCCAGCCTCCCCACCCCGTTCCCCTCCAGCCCACAAAAGGATACTGACAGCAAAGACGTTGATGCCATCCACAGCATATTTGTAGTAATAGGGGTTGACGGCACGGTAGCAGCACAGGATCACCTCCCCCTCCAGTGGCACCTCCGTCTGTGGAGGGACAAGTGGGTGACACCACTCTGAGCATCGCCCCCACCCCAAAACCCACCCTGCAGCAGGGTGCAGGACCCCAGCACAAAGGCACCCACCATCTTCAGGCGCCGCACGAGCACCCGCTCCGGGGGCAGCAGCAGGACACGGGTGGTGGTGCGGGCGCTCAGCTTGGCCACAGGGATGAGGAAGACAAGGAGCCACGCTGTGATGCACACTAGTCCATGGGCCAGCACCAACGCCGGGTAGCCCAGGCACAGCCACGCTACGGTGCCAGCACACTGCTGTGAATTGGTAGTCACCTTTAGGGTTTGCCCAGCCCAAACCACCCACCCCAGGGGAGTGGAGGCACCCATGGGTGCCATCCCCACCCTGATGGGGAGCTCCCGGGGTGCCCATGCTGAGGCAAATGGTGTCATCATGTCCAGCATGGGGCTCACCCAGTGTCCGGCATCAGCCCAGCACCATGGGCGCCAGCGGCGTGGGACAGGACCACCAAGCAGGGCTGAGGTCTCTCCTGCACCACTCGCCTCCGCGCCGGCTTCACACGTACCCAGCGCCCGGCGGGGTTTGGGGACCTGGGGGGAGATGAGGGGTGTCAGGATGGGGTATGGGGCACCCCAACCACCCACCACCCCACAGGGTCCTGATTCAGGGCATGCCTTTACCTCCACCTTCTGGATCACTTTACCAAAGGGCCAGAGGAAATACCCAGCCAAATCCCAGCAGAGCCGCCCTGCGGGGACACAAGCATCAGCTCTGTTGGGGACACACGTCCCCTCCAGTTACATGGCCACCCTGCAGGGAAGGGACCCAGGAGACCCCAGCACCCATCAGTGCCATTTTGGGCTCACCCATGGCTCACCCAGCCCTTTGCACGTGGGTGCCAAATTTGAGACTCACCATAAGGAGTCCCCACAACAGTGATGAACATCATGGCAGCCACGAGGACGGAGAGGAACGAGAGACACCAGCCAAAGAGCAGCAGGTAGAGG